TGATCTAATGGCTAAATAAAGCTTTTCATTGGTTGATAGCTATATATCTTATCAATGGGAAAAGAAAGACAGGATTAAATGCAAAATTAGACTGACATGTGTGAATAAAAGGCATGGCAATGAATAGTAAAAAGTGATCTGAGAAAAACAATAATCAGAATACAGAATATTTGGAAAGACTATTACTAATGTTTAAAAATGGCACAAAGAGAAGCTTAAATAGTAATCCACACCCCAAATATAAGATATTATTTAGAAGTGAACTACTTCACATATTTTTAGAAAAAAATAATAGCTTTGAAGAGTTTATACCACTTCAGTTGACCATAGATCAAAATTATCTATGTTCACTCCTAAAATAAGATAGGATGTTACAGGTTATAGTTGCAGCCACAATGTAAGGCAGTACACAATCAGCCACAGTAAAGAAGACCAATTAGAGGGACACAAGACCATAACAGAATGGTTGCAAAATGACTGCTAAACACAACATTTTTTAAATCAAATTTCTTGTCAAAGTCAGGGAAGAGTTAGTAAAAATTTTAGATCAATCATGCCCATGTTCTACCTGTGTCTCCAGGGCATTGAGGTATAAGCTCCATTACCCAGAATGCTAGGGACTGGCATGCCAAAGCATAAAACATGGAATGCTAAAACACCCCACTGTGTAATATACAACAAATGCCAGTATATGTTAGCTCTGAAGCCACAGATTGTAAGAGAAAGCAGCAAATAAGTGAATAAAAACAGTCTGATTCATCCCCCAAAAAAGATACAAAATATTTTGGGAAGAAGCTCCAATGACTACAAAGAAACCAAATTAATAGAGCACTAGAGACCCGCATCTCTCACCATACACTAAGATAAAATCTAAATGGATAAAAGACCTAAACCTATTCCCAGAAACCTTCAAACTTTTGGAAGAAATGTAGGAAACACTCTGGAAGAGCTAGGTGTAGGTCCTGACTTTCTAAATAGAACACCAAAAGCAATAGCAATTAAGACCAAAATAAACAAATGGAACTATATCAAACTAAAAAGCTTCTGCACAGCAAAGGAAACTATCAACAAAGTGAAAAAACAACCCACAGAATGGAAGATCTTTGCACACTACAAAGGTGATACCGGGCTAATCTCCAGAATATACAAAGACCTCCAGAGAAACCAAAACACCAAAACAAACAAACCACTCAAAAAATGGGCACGGGAAATGGGGAGACATTTCACAAAGGAACAAACCCAAATGGCAAACAAACATGTGAACAAATGCTCAAGTTCCCTTGCAATAAGGGAAATTTAAATTAAGACATCAATGCGGTACCACCTAACACCAGTAAGAATGGCTCATACACAAAAACCGCCAACAACACTTGCTGGCGAGGTTGTGGGGAAAAGGAAACCCTTCCCCATTGCTGGTGGGGCTGCAGATTGGTGCAGCCTCTATGGAAATCAGCATGGAGAACACTCAAACAACTGAAAATCTGCATACCATACAATCCAGCAATAGTACTCCTAGGAATATATCCAAAACACCTGCTACACGAGAAACCTACATGCACCCCCATGTTCATAGCACAATCAATAATTGCAAAAACTTGGAAGCAACCAAAATGCCCATCGACCGAAAACTGGATAAGAAAGCTATGGTTTATTTACTCCACGGAATATTACTTAGCTATTAAAAAAAACGAAATGCAGTTCTTTGGGGCCAAATGGGCCCAACTGGAAGCCATCATGCTAAGGGAAATGAGTCAATCCCAAAAGGTCAGATACCACATGTTTGCCTTAATTTAAGTTGAAATGCTGTCAATTTGTAAAAGGGCACCTGTGAAATGTAGTATTACATTGTTAATTAACCCCATAATGCTGGAAACTGTTGTTGATGTTGTGTTTTGGCATTTAATTGGTCAGAACAATAATCTGCCAGCTATGTCTCCAGACCAGAGTTGGTCTTCACAAGAAACTGCTGAATTCAGCTGGGCAATATGATACTGGACTCTATGCAAGGCACATGCTTGCATTGAAAGAAATAAGACTAGATTTGATCTGTAATACTGCAATAAGGTGGAGCAATCCACCATGGGGGAAGGGCAAGAGGAGGATAAGGGGGAACATCAGAGCCTATGAAACGTTGTTATAAAATTAAATGCAATAAAAAAAATTTGTTTAAAAAGAAGAATCAATTTCTTTATCCTTGAAAAATAAAATCTGAGATATGTTTTTTAAAAAATAGAGCATTAGGTATTTATTTGTTAAGCATTTTTGAGAAATTTCAGAGAAATGTTATGTTAAATATTATGGAGGTTAATAAAGTCTGCCTTTTGGAAGTTTACAATTCACATATACAAAATGTTCGATGAGATATCAATGCAATGCAAAGTGATACAAAAAAATAAGAAAAAAAGAAGGAAAATAGAAAAGATGGAAAAAAGAAATGGTGACAAGGAGGAATAAGGGAAAAAGGACACATTCTAACGTTTTGTGCATAAACAGAAGAAGTTCAGTCTTTCCCCTGGGGCTCCTAGCCACCAACCTCTTTCCTATCCTTTGGTTCCCTCTTACTTTTAGCCCTTGTGAATTGTTCAATTGACATTCAAGACAGGATGCCTCACACTCTCCTACACGGGTGCTATTCATTTTGTTTGCCTCTAAAGGTCTACTGAAGAATTTTAATCAAGCAATCTTCATGGGGTTTATCATGCATAAAAGTAAGAATGTCTCATTTTAAACTACTGTGTGGTATAGTAATTATAGACCCAAAAGAGCAGGTTTTAAAGTGATGATGAGGAAACCCAAAAGAGAGTAGAGGCAATACTGCTTTGAAAGGGAAACTGAAAACCTTGGAAATCCAAAATCAGACTGGGGAGGATGATACTATCTAGTCGTGCAAATGCTTACTGTTAAAAGTCCGAGACCTTCTATTGTAGCTGTCTTGCTTAATAGTGAAGAGTCTGATGTTAAGATCAGTATCTTGGCAGAATCACACATTTGATAAAAGTTTTATTATTATCATTAGTGATAGAGCTGGAATTAAAGCAAATCATCTGACATCTGATATATTCATGGTTCTTTTCTCAATATCACATTCCTATTTCATTTCAAATGAATTGCCTAATTACTTTAACACATAGCACAAAAAGAAGTGTTACATGTCTGTTTTTACAGTATATTAAGATGTCTAAAGCCCATGCCGATCTCTGCTCTGAAGCAATGGTCATATTTGAGCTTGTGTGGCAACATCATGGCACAATAGATTGTGCCAACGCATTCCATATGAGGGCTGGTTCAAATATCCTTGAACCATCTAGGGCCCTTCTAGGGAGGCAGTGAAAGGTGGCACTTACCACCCACTTAAGAGACCCAGATGGAGCTCGTGGCTTTGGCATGGCCCAGGACTGGCCTTTATAGCCATTTGCAGTGTGAATTGGTGAAAGAAACATGTCTCTCCCTGTGTCTTTATCACTGTACCTTTCAAATAAACAAATAAATCTTGAAAAGTGAAATTTTACCCTGCAGAAGATGAACCTGGGGGGTTTACTGGTCCTGGGCCTTACTCGTTCAGTCATATAGACTCCAAGGGGACACTCAGGTTGCTGCTCCACATTTCTATTTGCACTTTTCCTAGCACTGCTCTAGAAACACAGCCCTTACAGTAAATTCCTCGGATGAGAACAATTAATGGTTTGCTATGAATGACATTATTAAAATCACCACTACCGGAACTGGATGATTTTAGCTCTACATGTCCTTAGTTTTTGTAATAGTCTCTTGCTACGCCAGATTTTCACAATTTCTTTCCTTTGCCCAGATGTTTCTCCTAAACTCTGTTTGCAACTGGCCAAATACCTGTCCATTGTCACCTCTATTGGAAAGCATTCCTTGTATTTCCCAGATTGCTATGGGAGTTCTTTCTACTATTTTTTATTTTTATCCTCTACCAGCAAATTACAAGCCTTTTCACATTGGAAGACAACTGTTGCTTTGCATGTTCTTCCCCACCAAAAACCTTAAAAATTCTTTATTTCATTATTCTATATTTATATATGCACATTGCCTAGCATAGCAACAGATACACAAATATTTGCTCAATAGATTATTATAAATATGAGATTAAGTGGAAAGAAAATGCATATACAAGTTAATGACAGAAATAAAATACAATTAATTTAAAATGAGTGAACTTCAAAGTTTTAAATTATATATTCAGATACTATATGAGAGCAGTTTCAAAGGAATACAGAAATGAAATTGCAAGATAAATATATTATAGCCAAAAATTTTGACACCCATGCATAGATTTTTGTAAAGTTTCTCATTTTAAACTTTAAGAACTTTGTGTGTGTGTGTGTGTGTGTGTGTGTGTGTGATTGTTCAGTCCTTGGTAGCCCAAAAATAAAATGAAAATTAATTTTTGTCAGAAAACAAATACGTAAAACATACTTTCATGATATAAAATCTTAAGTGTTTGTATTCAGAAACTACGCTCCAAACTTTAGCACCACCAGTGAAAAGACATTTATTGCTCAGCCATTCCTTTCAAATTTCAATAATCTAGATTCCCCCAGTGAGAAGGAATCTTTTAGAAAACAAATGAAGTACCTTCTAACCTTATCCATCTTGCAGAATGTTGGTCACTGAATGTGTTCAAAGACAACCCTGGCAGGAGATGAGCATCTCACAGTGAACCCATTTCAGTTTAAAGAATTCTCATTTTTGGAATTTTGTGTCGGCTGGAGCCAGAACACTCAGATGGCAGTGTGGACCCCTGGGCCGGAGCCGACCGCCCTGGCACCCTGGCTCCATTGGCACCCTGTCGCACAGAGCCCCTCTCCCAGCCACAGGACAAAACTGCCAAAGTGACGCAGCCGCATCCAGCCACAAACCAGCCAGGGGCCCAGCCCGGTGACCAGGAGGACTGCCTCACAATCGGCACGGCAGGGCCCAAAGAACCCCGTGTCACCGCGAGGACTGCCTCACAATCCTCCCGAGTGGGAACCAACCTGACCGAGCCGCCGTGGGCCTGTCTCCGCTGGCAGATTCCGGGCCGTGACACAGGCAGAGGCCTCGGGTGTCCGCCTCCAGCCGCCCTGCTCCTCAGTGGTGGCCGAGCCTCAGAGGCCTCCGCCGTCCCCTCACAGGCGTCTCCCAGAATGGCGGCCGGCAGCGGCTCCAAGGCTGCTGCCGAATTCATTGTCGGTGGGAAATACCAACTGTTACGGAAGATCGGGTCCGGCTCCTTCGGGGACATTTATCTGGCGATGAACATCACCAACGGTGAGGAAGTGGCTGTGAAGCTGGAGTCGCAGAAGGCCAGGCACCCCCAGCTGCTGTACGAGAGCAAACTCTATAAGATTCTCCTAGGTGGCGTGGGCGTCCCCCACATCCGGTGGTATGGCCAGGAGAAAGACTACAACGTGTTAGTCATGGATCTTCTAGGACCCAGCCTCGAAGACCTCTTCAATTTCTGTTCAAGAAGGTTCTCGATGAAAACGGTGCTTATGCTGGCTGACCAAATGATTAGTAGGATTGAATATGTGCATTCCAAGAATTTCATACACAGGGACATAAAGCCGGATAACTTTCTCATGGGGATTGGGCGTCACTGTAATAAGTTATTCCTTATTGATTTTGGTTTGGCCAAAAAGTACCGAGACAACAGGACCAGGCAACACATCCCATATCGAGAAGATAAAAACCTCACCGGCACGGCCCGATACGCCAGCATCAACGCACATCTTGGCATCGAGCAGAGTCGCCGGGACGACATGGAGTCGATGGGATACGTGTTGATGTACTTGAACAGATCCAGCCTGCCATGGCAAGGACTGAAGGCTGCAACAAAGAAACAAAAATATGAGAAGATTAGTGAAAAGAAGATGTCCACTCCTGTTGAGGTTTTGTGTAAGGGGTTTCCTGCAGAGTTTGCCATGTACTTAAACTACTGTCGTGGGCTGCGTTTTGAGGAGGCCCCGGACTACATGTACCTGAGACAGCTCTTCCGCATTCTTTTCAGGACCCTGAACCATCAATATGATTACATTTTTGACTGGACAATGTTAAAGCAGAAATCGGTACAACAGGCACCTTCCAATGGGCAGGATCAGCCGGCCCAAACCTCCGCAGGCAAGCAAACTGACCAAGCAGAGTAATGTGAAAGCTTTCTGAGTATGTACTATGGAACAGAAAGCAGCAGGGCGGACCAGCAGAGCAGCGTCTATCCCACCCCACCCCCTTAGGAATTATAGTTCATATGTTCCCTAGACAGTGGTTGTGGACAACCACTTTCCTTGGTGTAGAGAACTGAATTTCATTATAAACTGGCCCCGGACAGCACTGGTAATACTGGGTCCAGCGTTGTATCCGCTGTAATTTTCAATAGTTACCGAGGTAGTGTAATACGGTGTCCAGTTTTTCTTTTTTGGAGTGGATAAGTTAACTAATTGGTTGTCACAAATTGGTGGAGAAATTGGACATACGCCTATTTTCTTTCCTTCCTTTTTTTTTTTTCTCTTTTTCATTGTTCTTAAGAGCTATTGTTTTGAACTCTACTACTTTGAAATCTCATTTTGGAAGAATCGCACAGTCTAGCACCGTTATGATGATTGTAAATTCCCACAACTGTGCATTCTTAGGATTTTTCCAACCTTGGAATTTGCAAATTGCTCACTTAAAACATTTTTAAAATAGATGGCTTCTTGTTTGCAACACTGCTGATCTGGTAGCAACCAGATTCTAGTGTTTTGAGTATATGAAAGACTGCATTCTTACCTGTGCTAGAAATAACAGCATCTAAAATGAGGATTTAAGACTAGATAGTTTAGGATTCTGCCTCAACTCTGTTGTATTCTTGTGTTAAAAGCAGATCTGTCACAGATACTTCGGTAACATCCTACAACTGAACTTGTGTGTATGTTGCTTGGATGAATGCAATTGCTGTAAGCATCATATGATCTTTAGAGCAAATATATAAACTGTAACTTTTTCAGAAAATTCAATTTGTAGACAATCTCATGAAATTTAAACATGCATACAAAGATTTCTTAAAAATCACTTTACATTCTAGACAGATATCATCACCATCATTTCTACACATTAACCAAACCATACACATAGCATAAAAATTTCTAAACACATAATCCTTCATATCTAAATAACAGCATACCTATTTTTCCACTTAAATTTAAACTACGAAAAAAAAATAGTACTCAATAGCTACACTTCAAAATTGAAACAACAAATCAAATACATACTCAATTATAAACTGTCATAAATATTTACTTCATTAGCAATATCTTGAATAATATCCAATCAAGAATATGCTAAAACCAAACTATCACAAACTATCCACAAACAATTAAATTCAAATCACCACTCAAAATCAACAACACACAAACCTAATTACCCTTACAAATTACCATTCCCTAACAATAGGTCAATCAAACAAATCCATATCTATCAAAACATATAACCATTTACAACTCCTGTCCCAAAACCATCATTCCCAAATCAAAATCTATAACTCCAAATGCCCATCAAATAGACATGTGTCCATACTTTCCCCTACGTTTCTGATGACAGTCCCACTCAGTTCAAGACATAGCTGATAAACCGTCCTTCCATTTGAAGTCTCCATGTCTGATAAAAAATGGAATAGTTGAGTTTATGCAGCTGTTCAAGAGCTAATTATCTACAATTATTTCTGATTACTGAATAGGCCATGGATATGTGTTCATTGCTATGTGGAGTTTACACATTAGGCTTTAATGTGCTGATACGGTTAATTGTGGTGCTCACTGCTGCCTGTTAATAGAATATTCCTGTAAATGAGGCCATATCTCAATCGAATTTACTGGTTTATTTTAAATAAGTAATAACTACAAACAGATTCTAGATCCAGTATTTACCATTGTAAGCATGTACGTTTTAGTGCTGTATCATTTCTAATGCATTTAAATTATTCAAGTTAGAGAAAACAAATTATTAAACTAATGAGTCAATAACCAGCTCATATACATAGATATCAAATTTTTCTTTGTTCTGTCTCCTAAATTTTTTGCCATTGTTAACAAAATAAATTATTTTAAATGGTGCCAAATAAGCTAAATGTAATAAAATTATGAGAAAAATAAATGCATATTAAAAGCAGACAACAATGTATTAGCATATAATCCAAGGTGCCCATACCAGTGACTGGGAGTTATACAGATATGCCAGTAGGAAAGGGGACTTGGAATTGGTGTAATGAGACATTACTTTGCTTTTCAGTTTTGCATTTTATGATCATGTTTCATTCAAAGCATTCACATGTAGTTTTAAACCTTCAGAGAATTGTTGTTCTGTTGATGTTCCATATTTATTTATTATCTTTCTGATTACCAAAAATAGATGCAAAATGCATGTGTCAATGTTCTAAGTATTTTTTTCATCTTTTTTTTGTTCACCAGTTCTTTTCCTTGTCATCATTTTTCCATTGCTTCATCTCTTCTTTAAAATCTTTTCCATTCCTCACTACTCTTTTATTAGAGAAAAATATGAAACAGGAATGGTACTATTGACTTTCTGTAATTTCTAAAAATAATAGCTTTCTACCTGTTTTCTGCCATTTCCCCAATTGGCCCTGCTGTGTCTCTTTTAGAGGCATCAGATTGATCCCTCTGTGAATATATTTCAGGGAATGGGACCCTGTGGGACAGCATGGGCCCATCACTCTGGGTGACACTGCGTGTCCCTAGAAACACTATAAACTCCATGTTTCCATGAGCTTAAAGCTACAATCTCTACTATAAACTAAGAGGGACAGAATGGGCTTTAAATAATTTTAACTGACAATTATTTATACTCATTGTTCTGATGCAGAATTTCTATGTAGAATGTAATATATTTCTGAATTACTCTGAAGCTTAGGGTTTCTTGGTTATTCACAAATGAAGAACTATAAGCAGTTCCTTCAATTTTCCATTTCAAGACTTTTGACATCTCATCAGTATAAAACTCTACAATCTTCTCATTAATACAAAAAATATATATATTTTTAAAGTTTGTGGACATGGAGCTGGTGAAGTGGAATAACAGGCAAATCCCCCCTCCTGTGGCTCTGGCATTTCCTAAGAGCTCAACTTATGATCCAGCTCCCTGTTCATGCTGTGAGAAGACAGCAGAGGAGGGCCCAAGCCCTTGTGCCTCTGCACCCACATTGAGGAAGCTGTTGGATTCCAGCTATGGACTGGCATCCCTCTAGCCAGTGGCCATTCAGGGAGTGAATCAGTGGATGGGCAATCTCTCTCTCTCTCTCTCTCTCTCTCTCTCTCTGTTTCTATAAAATTTTCAAGTAATATATTTTTTTTTTTGAAAAAGGTAGTGGAAACATAGAATTCAATGGTAATTTTGTTTTGGTTCAGGATTTGTTGAAATCCACGCAGATTTTTCATAGTATATATTTTCTATGAACTTTTTGCAGGCCCTTCATGCATTTCTTTTACAAGTTTCCATTTCCACATACACAACATGACCTTTCTCATGCTTCAAGCATTCATCTTGCTCCTCTTACTTCCTAGTCCCTTCTTACCTTGGTGAAATGCAAATTCTTCTTAAAGATAATCATCATTGCTATTTTTTTCTTAAAACCTTTCAGGATAATTGTTGTGAAAGATGATAGTAATAATGCAGTTAATAGCAAGAATAATGAAATTAACCCAAAACTTCAACTGTCAAGAACTATGTTAAGCTAAGCTCTTTCCCAGGACCATTGTATTTTATTTTCACAATTGCCCTGTGGGAATCCTACCACTGCTGTCACCATGCAACAGATGTAGTGAGACTTAGCACACAGTAGCTAAAACTTAATATAATACTGAGTTCAAGATCAAGGGGCAGTGCAGATCTTTGAAACAATGGCCTGACTCCATAGCTCAATGTTATTCCTGAGTTTAAATAATTAACCACTATGGACACTGTCATCTACATCCCTTTTTCATCTGCTTAAATAGCTTTCTGTTTGCAACATTAGTTTAGCATGTGTCCCAGTGTGCATTGGCTGGCTTATCTGCCAATGTGTTCCTTAAGGCAGAAGAGTGATTTATTTATTTTTATAGCCTCAGAACACATAACTGGTCCATCTTAAGAACTCCATTTATAGTCTTCAAATGGGAACTGATTCTTCCTTTACACATTTATCTCCTTGTATTTTCTTTCACATACTCTGTCATGTAGACAAGCAGGACTATTTGCTATTCCCCACACACCCTGTACTGCAGCTCTTTGATATCCCTGCCTTGGCTGCTTCTTGAAATGCCTTGTACATAAGCAGTGCTTCACCAAGGTAAAATTCCAATTACTCTCTCCTTCTTGAAGGTCCTGTATCTTATGAGCCAGATGGGATCTTTCTCTCCTTGTCCCGTCAAGCATTTATTTATAGTTCTGTTGCCCTTTATCACTTTTACCTCACTAATGTACTTGCAAGATCTATTAAAAAACATTCATCACTGAATGTTTCACATAATAGGTGTTTAATAGATATGAGTGGATCTAAGTTATTCAAACTATCTTAGGTTTCTACAAAGTGAAGATATTGAAGCTTTAAGGACATTTTAAAAACAATTACCTTGATGTGTTATTATTAAATGCAGTATAGATATAAGACAGATATATTTTTTCATTGAATATTTACATTAAAATCTCAATAATTTTGGCTTATCCATTTGTTAAGCAAATTTCTATGGTTTCCAAGAAAAGTTTTTTTTTTACCTAAATTACTAGAAAATTTTAATAGCTTTAAGAAACTGAATAATTTCTTTTACTGTAAACCAGAGCACTCTTTTCAACGACTTTTCAGTGTCTTCATGTTTGAATAGTGTAACATTAAAATGTACATTCACTGGTATTATAATACACTTTTATCTATTACTGAATGCAACAAATACTTGCCGAATTTCTATGGTATGCATCATATAAAACTTGGTAAGATTTTCTGAAGAATAATGAAGAGTTGTAATCCTCTAAATATGTGAACATGAAGGGATGCAGAAAGAGCAAATAGCAGGACATGAAGCAGTCTATACTACAAACTTCAGAAAACACCTAACATGCCATTAAGATGTCCAAAGAGACGTTTCATCTTTTGGGAAACTCAGTCCAATGCTTTGTTCTCTCG